TCCTTCCACCCACCTCAAACTTCATAATGAAGCTTGCCACATATCCACCTGCATTTTTGACATATCTACTCCAGTACCTAATGGACATCGCAAACTTGACTTGTCCAAATTAGATATCTGAACACATAAACACCCCAAATCTGTTCTTCCTCCAGTATTCCCCACCTCAATAAATGGAGGCTTCCAGGGGCTCAGCTCAGAAACCTTGCCGTCCTGTTTGAGCTCTTTCTCTTACAACTTACATCCAACCCAGTCAGCTCTATGTTACCAATCAATCAGAGCACCGTTCACTACATTCTGTGCTACTTACTCCTGGACAAGCCACAATCACCTTTTGTCCAGATGACCATAATGGCTCCTCACTAGTCTTTGTTTTCGCTTTTGATAGCTTGTTTTTTTTTCTCAACCCAGCAACAAGAGTGATTATTGCAAAAGATGTCATGTCCACCGTGAGAACATTCCAGTGGTTTTCCACCTTCATAATAAAAGCCAATGTCTTTATCCCAGCCTACAAGGAGGGTAGCCAAAAATTCCAGTTTGCCTGAATTTCAGGGGTCTCTGGGGATGTGGAACTTTCAATGTTAAAACTTGAATAAAGTCTCAGGCAAACAGGGTGAGTTTGTCACCCTACCTAGATGGCTTTGCATGCTCTGGGCCCTGGCCACCCTCTGATCTCATTTGCTGTCACATTTCTTTGTCTTCACTGACCTTTTTGCTGTTTGTGGAACAGACCAAGCATGTTCCAGTCTCAGAGCCCTTGTGCTTATTTTTCTGTCTTCCTAGAAGTATCTTATCCTGGTATAGGGGAGGATCTTACTTCTGCCCTCTTAGGGTTTTTTGGCAGGCCTAAGAATTAAATTGACATAAAACAGGTTAACAGGAGAAAAACATACCATTCGTTTTACGTTAATATAAATACATATATATTTATATATTTAGACACTGGGGTACACCAATGTTTTTCCATGACAAAGTTACCCTCATAAGGAAATGAAGACCCAAAGAAGCAGTTAGAGTTGAACACTTATATACTGAGTTGGACAAAGAGTAGTAAGCTGAAAACACAAGGCAAGGGGGTTGGGGCTAGGGTAGTGAATTGTGGAAAAGTAACTAGGAAGATAAGGGTTAGTTTACAAGGTTGGTTTGTACAGATTTCTCCGGGCCTCAGCTCCTCACCCAAGGTGAGAAAAACGTTGCTTTCCTTGTCATATAAGGATGACATCTTCTATATGGGGAATTTCTCATCTGCTTTCAGGAATAAAAAGGAGAGATCACTGTGCCTTCCAGCACCTGTTGTTTTCCAAGGTGCCTTTAATCTTTATGTCAGAGGCGGTTTTTGTGTGGCGTATTCTACTACCTGTCCCCGGATGGCTGCAGGCTTCATTTCATTCAGGCCTCTGCGCAAACACCTTCTTATGAAAGAGAACTTTCCTGACCACCCTATGTAAAATAATACCACTTTCTACTCATTCTTTACAATAACATATTTTAGATGTTATTTTTTTATTTTATTTTTTTAAAGATTTTATTTTAAGATTTTATTTATTTGACAGAGAGAGAATGAGAGAGAGCACGAGAGGGAGGAGGGTCAGAGGGAGAAGCAGACTCCCTGCTGAGCAGGGAGCCCGATGCGGGACTCGATCAATGTGTATTTGATGTAATGATGTAATGATACACGATTCACGTGTATCAATATATGTCTGATTGTTGTTTCTCTCCCCCAACTACAATACAATTCTTTGAGAGCAGGGATTTTATTTTGTCCCTGAAGTGTCCCCATCATCTAGAATAGGGCTGACGGCTAATAGGTAGTCTATGAAGGTTTGTTGTGTGGGGAGAGGAAAAATATTTTTCCTTCTACCTTTCTAAATTCTTGACTGAGACCTCCCTGTAATAAAAAGATAGACTAACAGGAGAAAATCCAATTTAATTATGTACATAAGTACAGGAGCCCCACAAAGATATAAGGTTCAAGGAAGTGAACAGAGCAGGAAGCTTTTATATCTGTTAGACAAAGAAAGAATACCTTTCTAAGGACGTGTTAGAAAGAAATGCTTTCGGCTAGAAGTAGTAAATGGTAAAGAAGTGACAAGGTTTATTCATAAAGCCTTCTCAGCCCTGAGTTCCTCGTCTCTGGTCGTGAGGATGTCTTTCTTCCTCCTGGTACAGGAGGGTACATTTCACATAAAAGATTTATCTTCTGCTTTCAGGAAAAAAGAAAGAAGTGGGGGGTGATGTGGGGGGTGTAGGGGATGTCAGGGTGATTTTCCTGCTTCTGAAGCTCAAACTCCTTGAGTTTAACATATTTAGTATACCAAGGTGGCATATTAGGAGATAGCATGTCCTGAACCCCATCAGTTGAATGAACGCACACGTGAATTTTCTACACAAGACCCTAGGCCCACCAGAGTGCTGCCACAATTGATTCTCTACTATTGCTTGACTTACCACTGCCTGAATCAATCAGTGTGGCAGTTTTTCCTCTAGATCTGAGGAATGATGCCGAATGGCAAATCACGCAGCATGATCTCTTTGTTCTGAGCAAGGCCTTCATGACTATTAGGACTGAGGAAGGCTCAGAGGCTTTCCCCCAGGGCAGTGAGCACGACTAAAATGGGTATAGTACTATCTACAAGGCTATGAATAAAGAAGCCAGACCAACCATCACAGAAGCTAGTCATGTCTATTGTTGGAGCAACTACCCCTCCCCTCCCATTTAGAAAATCTGCATTCACACACCTCTCTACATATACTCTGCATCCAGGACAGGGAATTCTGTCTGATTTGCTCAAAGATGTACCCCAATGCCTACAAGAGTATCTGGCACATTACCTGAGGTCAATAAATATTTCTTGAAGAACACCAGCTAAGGAGAACATAAAATGACCACTCTCCCAGCCAGGCCCATTTTGCTCCTCTGGCTGTCCAGGATGCAGCTCTGAATTCTCCCCAATGTTAATTTAAATTAAGCCAGGCTAGGTACTTTTATCATTCCCCAGAAATCTTGGAGGACGGTTATCAGGTGGAAAAGAGGACCAAAAAAGCTAGGAGAGACACCGGCTGAAGCTGACATACTGAGCTTGCAACAGCTTGGGGGCTCTGTCGCACTCGCTCTATTTAATTGTGATATAGTTTATACACCATAAAATTCACCCAAAATTAGCCGCCCTAATTTCCATTTCTCTGTGAAGGAAGGAAGATATGGCGAACTCGTACAGGCTCTGACAATGAAAGAGGCACTTTCCCCCCACAAACCAGATGTTACTCTCCCCTGAATCCAGTGCCCTGGGTTTTCTGGCAGCCCGAATCTGGTTTCTCCCCTGCCCATTTCCAGAGACTTATTTTTTGGAGACAAATCATTGTTAGTGGTGAAACTTCAGTACTGTTCTCGGGACTTGATTGAAGGACACTTGCAGGTCTGGGTCTATTTCATAATCCGCAAAATGATAAAAATTCCTAACCCAGGGCTTTGGGGTTTCTGGCCAGCCTTCCCATCCCCCAGTCTGGCTCGCCTGACGGTTTGGGGGCGGGGGGGAAGGCACATGAGATCATCAGTTCTGATTGGTTGACAACCACGGATGGGACTTGCTGATTGGACAATGTTCCTCTTTGTTCCTGGAAATCATTGCAAGTTCCTCGCTCCACTTGGTCCTTCCCCACTTTTGAGTTGGAATATCATTCCTAAAACCCTTACTCGTATGCAGTGAATAGGGACAGAGGAGCAGGCTAAATACTGTTCAGCTAAGGGAGTTCCTTTGGTGTATACGGATGTCGCACGGTTTTACCTTCAAAAACCCTGCAATCTTAACGGGATTCTGTTATTAGATCTCTAGATTAGAAAGTTTAACTACAGTGGAGGGTCTATCAAGACAGCCCTTTTTTTGAACGGTTGGGTGGCCCTGAAAAGGGCCTTTGGTTATGAAATGTAGTTTTCTGGTGATGAAATCAGAGCTTAGCCCCCGAAGCCGTAGAGGGTGCGGCCCTGGCGCTTGAGCGCGTAGACCACGTCCATGGCCGTGACCGTCTTGCGCTTGGCGTGCTCCGTGTAGGTGACGGCGTCCCGGATCACGTTCTCCAGGAACACCTTGAGCACCCCGCGGGTCTCCTCGTAGATGAGGCCGGAGATGCGCTTGACGCCGCCGCGCCGGGCCAGCCGCCGGATGGCGGGCTTGGTGATGCCCTGGATGTTGTCGCGCAGCACCTTGCGGTGGCGCTTGGCGCCGCCCTTGCCCAGGCCCTTCCCGCCCTTGCCGCGGCCAGACATGGTTTTCTAGAAAGCAAAACAACAGCCAGTGACAAAGCAAGTGAGAGCTGGTCCTTATATAACGACGTCCCTTCCAACCCCACCCCCTGCAGATGTAGAGAATGGAAAGAGCGCAGGCGGGAAATGTGACGCCAGCAGTCCCCTCCCTTAATCCCGCCTCCAAGCCCCAGGAACTCAGGGCGGGCGGGGGTCAGAACCCAGCTTGACCATTGGTCTTTACTCCCTTAACTGGACTGCATTGTTCTAACGAACTGGGTTTATAGTAAGCTCATGTATGATTCCAAAAATATTCTAAAGAGAATACTTAAGAAGACAAAAAGCTTGTTTCGCAGTAATTTCAGTAATGGCAAAAACATCAAGATCAAAGAAATGTTAAGTTGAGCAGCTTATAGTTGATGATAAACCAGGTTCTTTCTAGATGTTTTACTTTTAATACATGTTTGATGAAACTATACTATTCCTGTTCGTTTTACAACTGATGCTCAGGAGGCCCTACTTAGTGCCCTTCAAATGCCACCTGTTTCATGCCCCTCTCGAAACGCCGACTCTTCCTTAAGACCTAAGTTAGCAGTACCTCCTAACCTCTTTAAAGGGCCAGTTTTGTTCGCATATGCAGGGAACATTTAGACAAAAGTAAGCATCTGTGGCCCATTAAAAGTGTTGCTAATCCATATCCTTTCGTTTCTAAGTGCATAGTTAGTCATATTAAACTCTGTGGAGTATTAGCTTTACAGCCACTTTCCTTGAAAAAGTGGGTGGCTCTGAAAAGAGCCTTTGGTTGAAGTTTCAAGGAAAAAAGGACCGTAGTTAGTGTATTATTACGCCCTCTCCCCGCGGATGCGGCGCGCCAGCTGGATGTCCTTGGGCATGATGGTGACGCGCTTGGCATGGATGGCGCACAGGTTGGTGTCCTCGAAGAGCCCCACCAGGTAGGCCTCACACGCCTCCTGCAGGGCCATCACGGCCGAGCTCTGGAAGCGCAGGTCGGTCTTGAAGTCCTGCGCGATCTCGCGCACCAGCCGCTGGAACGGCAGCTTGCGGATCAGCAGCTCGGTGGACTTCTGGTAGCGCCGGATCTCGCGCAGGGCCACCGTGCCGGGCCGGTAGCGGTGCGGCTTCTTGACGCCCCCGGTGGCCGGCGCGCTCTTGCGGGCCGCCTTGGTGGCCAGCTGCTTGCGCGGGGCCTTGCCGCCGGTCGACTTGCGGGCCGTCTGCTTCGTGCGAGCCATGACACCTGCACAAACGTAGCAAACACTAGCGCGACTAGGTCGCGCAACCAGACTGCCTAGTATTTATAGTACGTAAGGTGAAGTGATTGGATAAGAAAAATGTGACGTATAAGGTTGCAGGCTCTGATTGGACTATATTTTGCTTTCCAACAACGGCGCAGTTTCATTGGCTACCACGTTATCCTCGTCTCTTCGGGTTTTTTTTTTCCACAACTAGCTCACTGTGACTTACACAATGATTTTCGTTAGTCAGAATGCGGTGCTTTGAATGTTACCAAACATTGACTTCGTTGGTATTGTAGTTCAAAACTATTATTTCTTTAATTCTTGGAGAGAAATTTGAGAAATATTGCCCCCAATAATGTACTCTTTATACTCCCTGCTCAATAACCCCAATAACCCCATATCGTATTACAAGATTCTGAATTTCAAAAAAATGAGATCCCTTTATAATGCTAAAATGAAGGAACTCCTTTGCATCCTACGAGACAATGTCAACCTTCGTAAAATTACACTGGCGTTTACAGAAGCATTTCCAGTAATCGGACGCCCATTTGTCAAATGTTACTGCTGACTTCTAAACTTGCAGCTTTCTGGAACTTATTTTTTCTCACGCCTAGAATACATTTTGCCAGGTGTAAAATATCAGTGGCTAAATTCTCCAGCACCAACCTCTCTGAGCCTTGCGGAGCAGGCGTGTCCCGGGTCCAATCAACTGGATTCCGAGCCACGAGAGGGCAAACTTCTCATTACCAAGACCTAACTTTATAGTTCTTAATTTTTTTCAAGCTTAGAAACATCAAATGTGACCGTTTTGTACTAAGAGTAGGTAGGCCAGAGTCTACCTTTTCATTGGTTGAGTACTTTTATACTGATCGGCCAGTAAGAAACCTAGCATCCTTCATTCGGGTAGAACGTTCCTATTTTATTTGAAGCCTATTTAATCCAATGGATACACAGGAGGCCGGAACCTTAAGAAATTCCCGAATCCAGTGTTCCCTCTTAAAAAGCTACCTTTAATTAGAGTCCTCGTTTATTACACTAGGAAAAGCTTGGCTTTCAGAACATGTTCACTTACAAAAGCTTCCAGATTTGGAGGAAGGTCGTGTACCTGTTACAACTGACTCTTCCTTCAAACGCCTAGCTCCGATCGTTCTCTTCCAAACTGGTAGAAACTGCGGGTTGCGTCCGCAAACACAGACTCTCGGGACAACGGGAGGTCGTTGAGGGTGGCGGAGCTGTTAGTGGGAACACCCCATTCCTGGCCGCCGGCCGGTAACAAGCCCCCGGGATGTTTGAGGGCGAGCGGGAAGCTCGGGTTCCTTAGGCCGCGCGGACGTGTTTGAGAACTGCAGGAGCGCAGGGCGGGAAGGCGACGTCTCTGCCTCCTCCCGGCCGCCGGGCGACGGCCACGAGCCTGTTGCAGGGCGTGCTGGTTCCCGGGCGCAGCCCTGGGAGAGGCACTTTTTCTCGCATCGTCTGATTCGCCCCGTGAAATCACTTGAGCCTTGTCCGTGCGTGTCGATGCCCCTCACAGCCACGAAGAAGTCGGAGGAGGCTCGCCCTAGGCGGTTACCCGGAGCCTCTCGCCCTCGCCCCGAGGCGCTCTCGCCCCCTCACGGCGCCGCCCAGGGGAGCGCTTAGTCCGGCCCGCGCTTCTTGAACGCCCCCGGTGCGCCGGGGTGGGGGGCGGCTGTGGCTGAGCAAGAGCGCGCTGCAGGGAGCAGTCTCGTCAGCCCCTGCCCGCGGCATGTGCTAAGGCTGAAGGGGCATCTGCAGCTCGTCCAGGGCACCGGACCGCAGCCACAACTTGGCATTCACTCCCGGGAAGGCTTGCGTGTTGTTTCCCACAAGTGCCGCCCGCGTGTTAGCCGCGGGGTCAGCGAGTCGCGGTGTTGACCACGCTACTCCTTTGACCAAAGTTCATGAAAGGTCTTGACCAGGCGTGTCCCTCTTCGGCGTCGCCGGGGCAATGGCGTTGAGGACTGGTCCCAGGCCGGCGGACCAGGCCTACACTCCTGCACACCGCCCTCCCCCCCCACACCCCGCTTTCCTCTCTCCCTCCCCGGCCAGTCAGGACGCGGCCTTTTACATGCGGTGCGGATTAGAAACGGATGCCCCTCACGACGCCCCCCTGCATTCTTACTTGGGTGCCTCGTTTACAAACTGCTCTTCCTCCGCCCCCCGAAATGAAAAGGCTTGTTTTACAGAGGAAAGCGGCACCGTCTGGCGTTAAGGGGCTCCCGACCCCTCCCCGCCCAGAGGTGCGGTCTGCGCGAGGCGACAGGGCTTGGCCGCCGCACAGTCCCCGGTGGGACTGAGGGCCGCCGCGCAGGGGGCGCTAGGGGGCGAGAGGCGGGCGCCGGCGAGCACCAATCACAGCGCGGCCCCGCCCTATAAATACGCCGCGCCGGGGCCGCCGGCGTCTTCCTGCTCCGTCAGGTCCTCGCAGCTCGCCCCGCCTGCTCCGCTCTCACTATGTCTGAGACCGCGCCGCCCGTGCCGGCCACCTCCACTCCCCCCGAGAAGCCTGCGGCTGGCAAGAAAGCCAAGAGGCCGGCCAAGGCTGCGGCTGCTGCCAAGAGGAAGCCCGCGGGCCCCTCCGTGTCGGAGCTGATCGTGCAGGCGGTGTCGTCTTCCAAGGAGCGCAGCGGCGTGTCCCTGGCCGCGCTCAAGAAGGCGCTCGCGGCCGCCGGCTACGACGTGGAGAAGAACAACAGCCGCATCAAGCTGGGCCTCAAGAGCCTGGTGAGCAAGGGCACCCTGGTGCAGACCAAGGGCACCGGCGCCTCGGGCTCCTTCAAGCTCAACAAGAAGGCGGCCTCCGGGGAGGCGAAGGCCAACCCCACGAAGGTGGCGAAGGCCAAGGTGACAGGCGCTTCCAAGAAACCTAAGAAGGTCACAGCGACTGTTAAAAAAGCTGTTAAGACTCCGAAAAAGGCCAAAAAGCCGGCTGTAGCCAAGAAGTCGTCCAAGAAGCCCAAGGTTGTGAAGCCTAAGAAAGTAGCCAAGAGCCCTGCCAAGGCCAAGGCTGTTAAGCCCAAGGCGGCCAAGGCGAAGGTGACCAAGCCAAAGACGGCAGCCAAGCCCAAAAAGGCCGCACCCAAGAAAAAGTAAGCGTTGCAGTTGGAATTTATTCCAATAACCCAACGGCTCTTTTAAGAGCCACCAACATACTTCAGAGGAAAGAGCTTTAGTACGTGTCTCCTGGCTCCTACGCGGAGTTTGCACCCCCTTGCGGGGGCGCTGTTGAGCTACTCCTTAACCCTAGCTGGCGGTTCCTTGGAGGCTCAGGTTCCCTCCGGCGTGCCCAACCTCTAGGTGAAGCTTAGCGGCTCGGGGACCACTGGCCTTGGCGAGCTTCGTCTTGCCTAGAGTTAACTGTATTGGCAAGACCTGGGGGACTTTGTCCCTAACCGTAAGTCCGCGCCCTCGGCTAACGGGTCATCCGTGGTAACTAGGCTGGATGGGAGCCCCACCCTGGCCCCAGCTGGGAGCGTGCGCGGCGTGCACACCCGGCTGTTAACATTTCCCTGTTGAGTTCAGAGCCGGGCCCTGGGGTTTTCGGGACAGTAGGGCTTAAAGCGGCCTTCTCCGGTGTGGGTTCCCCTGACAAGTGCTTGGGTGGTAACCAGTGAAACCGAAAGCTTAGCCACACCCTCCGGGGATGCGGCGCGCCAGCTGGATGTCCTTGGGCATGACGGTGACGCGCTTGGCGTGGATGGCGCCCAGGTTGGTGTCCTCGAAGAGCCCCACCAGGTAGGCCTCGCACGCCTCCTGCAGGGCCATCACGGCCGAGCTCTGGAAGCGCGGGTCGGTTTTGTTGGCGCGGCGCCTCCGCGTGGGTCGACTTGGCTGCCCGCAAGTTTGGCGGTGGTCCCGACAAAGGAGCTTGGCTGCAGCGGAGTTTTGGAGCCCAAGCCCACAAGCCCTTACCGGGCTACTGTGTTTATGGGAAACAAAGCTGCCCTGATTGGCTAATATTTGAAAATCCACTCTGCACCTGACTAGAGCGTATTTCATTGCGTACGGTGTTTTCAATTCTGGTGGTGCTACAGCATCTCAAGTAGGGAAGGACACTTTCAAGGAGTTGTCCCTTTAGGCTTTTGAAATTTTAGGATACCGATTTTAATATCTTTCACCTCCGGGGAGAAAACACCATATGGTGAGGCAGGGTTACTAAGCACAGCTCAATTGGTTGTAAAGCCTTATTTTTACATATGCCCCTACATATTTTTTTTTTTTCCCGTTTTTTAGGTGATCTTTTTTTCCCCCACTGTCTTGCTGGGCTCCGAGCCCACTATCCGATAACATCTGCCATACAGGCACTTCACATCTCTGTTCCCCCGTACCTTAAACTGGCGTGTAGCTAGCTGTTCATGATTTCTTTGAACTGCGTCTTTTAGGAGCACCTATCCTACACATGCATGATTGCTCCTTCTGGGTTTTCGGTGAGGGCTATTCATAAAACGGTGACTTTATACAAACCGCTTCTTAAAACCTTTCCAAAATCCTTTCAAGTCAAAGCCTCTTTTTAATGTCCACGTGGAGTAACATAAGCTATTCATCCATTTCCTTTTGATAAGCATTGACATTGTTTCCATTTACCACGGCGGACTGGTGCAACAGAGTTCCAGCACCGAAATTGCTAGATTGGAGTGAATTTTATATTTCAGTTGGTGCTGACGTATCCCGAAAAGAACTCCCCCTCATCCATTCCGGCCATCAAGGTGTGGGCTCAATTTTTGCCCGTCTAAAGGGTGTAAAATTACTTCACACTGTCACTTTGATGTGCATTAGCATGGCCACTAGTATATCCTTTCTTTAGGTTTATTGGTCATTTGAATACACTTTTCAGAGAATGCGGGCTTATCCCTGTGCTCGTTTTTTCATTGGGCAGTTTTTCTTGTCCCATTGTGCTTTTATATAGTAAGGAACTACTTACCACTTCTGTTGCAGATAGCTTTCTAATTTTGGCATTTTTTACTAATTTTGTTTATGGTGCATTTTCCATTTAAATGTTATAAAGATCTATATAAAATCCCAAATATTAAATGTTAGAAACCTATCTTTTAAAGCTTCTAGATTTCCATTCTTGGTTAAGAAACTGAACCCCACCCCTCCATTATTCATTCAACAGCCTAGGTTTTCTTCTAAAAATTGCTTCCTAAAGTTTTTTTAGTCTCCAATCCATCTAAAATTTTATGCACTTTAAGATAGAATCCGAGTTTACATTCTCCCAGATAGATGGCCAGTTGTCCTAACACAATTTATAATCCATCCGTTTTTCCCACTGTATGTCCTGTTATTAAAGTCTTAAATAAGATTTCTGTGTTCTTTTCTATTGATCTCTCCACATAAGTCATGTTTATTAATTTGTATGCTTGTTTCTACTGTGAATGGAAGGCTCATTTCCCTTTTGAGGTCTTACTGCTAGGAAGGAGGAAATGTATTGATATGTTGTATCCAGTGAATTTACCAATTTCTGTAATTCCACGTCTTGTTACTTTTTAAAATAGAGCCCCTTGAGTCTTTCCTAGTCATCAGCAAAATAACTTATATTGGTTTTTTTTTTTTGTCTTCCTCAACGTGAATACCAAGCATTTTATTTCCCTTTTGTACTGCATTTGCTGAGAATTTCCAAAGTAAAGTTAAATAATTTAGCAGGAATCCCTTTTTAGTTCTTGGTTTTAATTAAGCTATTGTTTGTCCTTTAGGACATTTGTTAATTTTTGGCATCTCCATTATTTTAAATGATACCTTCAAATTTTATTTTACTTTTAGAAAATTTTTCAATAGCTCTTAGACTTTAATATATTGATATATGATTTTCTTCAAACGCAGTGTGGCTGAAAGAGCGACCTAGAAAAAGATGTGTTTTTATAAGGCGGTCATCTAAGACAGAAGCAGGTGTGCTGTGGTAGAGCTGGAGAAGGGGGGAGTCAGAAATTCTGAGTCTGTGAGATTACCAACTGGATGAGGGATATTAGCAACTGGGTTCAAACGCTGCTGATTGAGTGACTGAATTGAGTACAGGCCTGAGAACAGTCTCTTGGTTAAGTAGTACGGAGGTGACCGACAGCTTTGTGAATAGTTTGGGGAGGACTGAGTTGAATTAAGGTGGAACTATAAATTTGGGAATCATTGGTATATGGACGGCATGTAAAGCCATGAACCTGGGTGAGGTCGCCAAGGGGATGACTGAGGTAGAGAAGAGTATAAAGAGGAACGTGCTAAGGGGCGCCTGGGTGGCTCAGTTGGTTAGGCGACTGCCTTCGGCTCAGGTCATGATCCTGGAGTCCTGGGATCGAGTCCCGCATCGGGCTTCCTGCTCAGCGGGGAGTCTGCTTCTCCCTCTGACCCTCTTCCCTCTCATGCTTTCTATCTCTCATTCTCTGTCTCTCTCAAATAAATAAATAATATCTAAAAAAAAAAAAAAAAAAA